GCTTGCTGGGTGCACGGTGCTGGGTGCCAGCACCCATCCATGCAGACCCCTGTGTAGCTGAAGGTTGGCAGTGCGATGGCTTATCTCCTCCTGTGTGATGTTTGCGGGGTTCTGGGAAGCCCGGGACTCCCATTAATTTGTGAATTAATGGTAGAGCATTCATTAATTAAAGGGCTGCAGCCCAGCCCTGCTCCAGGCGCTGGTTTGGGAGAGCTGAGAACTGTTTGTGATCTGAAGGGCTGCCGTCTTTCAGGCTGTGCTGGGTTGTTTGCCGAGTCATTTGGATGCTTTCCCTTGATCACCCTGATTGCAGAGCACCACCGGAAAAGATGGACGTGGCTTCAATGAGGACAAACTGTCCAGCTCATAAAAGATAGCTGTGGTGAGTGAGAGATCTTCTGCCTGCAACAAGACTAAAATTTGCCTGATGGGGGACATGTAAGTGTGAGTGAGTTCAGGTGAATTTGTGCTGTTTGTCTCCAGAAAGAAGGAAGGGGCGAGTGGGTTGGATCCGTTCCTGCGGAAAGCCCCAGCCTGGACAAAGCGGCTCCCTTCCAGCTTTGTTCCTTGAGGGCAGATCGCTCCATTGCCTCAACTCCTTCTTGGGCTGGACCCTTGTACTTGTAGGAAAAAATCTTAATCTTAAGCAAAGTCCTCGCTGCAGCTGACTTCTCCCTAAGACATCACCAAACCAGGTCCCAGGTCCCACTGTTATGTGAAAATAAGGGGAGCGTGCTTTGCAATTAAGCATATAGCTTAATTGGATTGGAGGGAGGACAGCAGAAACTTTTCTGCTGAATAATTCGTTATTTAGAGATGCCCTCACAGCACATGTCCTGTTCGGCTGTTCAGATCCTTATCTGGAGCCTGCTAAGCCAATTATTTAATCATGAGTTATATTATTTAGTAATATATAGACTAAATTTGGCCCCTTTAGGGTTGCCAGAGTATTAATCCAGTGAGCTGCACCATAGGGCTGTTTGCAGATCAATCAGCCGCTGCAGCCGCAGTGGCTCCCGCAGAGACCTGATGCCATCAGGGGGGCACCCACCCCAAAACCAGCCCCACTGCTCCCCTGGCACCCAAGAGCCAGCAACCCCCCAAGCTGGGACGCCCACGGCTCCGTAGCGTTTTTCTATTGCCTGTCGGTAAAAGTTTCCAAAACAGTTTTTTGGGGCTGTTTAGACGTTTTCCCGTAGTCTGCTCTGGCCAGTGACAAATAACCTGAAACACTCCGTGAGATGGGTGCTGCTCTTCAGGGTATTAACGGTAGTGGGAAAGCAATGCACTGCGAGGCACAACTGCCTGCAGGAGAGAGGAGCGATATAAAACAACAGAGGAGATAGATAGAAACGATATAAAATGACCCAGGAGGTAGGACCGATATAAAGCAGGTCCCGGCTGAGCTGGGCGAGTCCCCATCTGCCGGGGATGGGGTGGGACCCTGCAGCCCCCAGCCAGCGCTGGGACTTGGGCGGGCTCAGAGTGGCTTTTGTCACTGTCTGCAGCGCAAGTGCACAGAAACCCTTTCGCCTGTGGGCAGGGAGAGCCTGCAATGAGCTCGTGTGTTTCGTCAGGGCTTTGTGGATACTGGGATTGCAGGATCTGTCTAAAATGTGTGTTAAAAATCAGCTTATCTTCTAAATAAACTCTCAGAAATTCCAGTATCTCCAAGATGTGCTTGGAAGTGATTTATTCTTTTTGCTTTTGGTGTTTCCCTGACACTTTTCAGCATTATTTTTAATGATGCTGTGTTACCAGAGATCACTTTTGGTGGATAACACAATATTTATGGAGAAACCAACAGCTAAATCTGGTTATCATTGACGTTGCTTATAAAATATACATAGCAATCAAGATACTGACCATGGCAGTAAATTGAAAATATATTGAAAACATAAAGCATTTTTTCAATTTATTAGTAATATAAAAATATTTGGGCATTTTTTTTCCCCTTGTTAAAAAGAAAGATATAGAAGCTGTTGTAAGGAAATCTGTAGTAGTGTTGGTCCAAATGCCGGCGTGGTGTGGAGGGCGAGCGGTGTGCTGGGTTTTGTGGGCTTTCAGATAGCAAACAGCCTGCTCCGGACACGCTACGGCAGCGCCTGGGGCACGTTCCCATCTGCCGAAGGGCTCATGGAGGGAGTCCAGCCCAAGGCAGATGCTGACTCGGCATTAACGCCAACCCCCCTGGCCCTAAGGGGTCCTGGGAGCAGGTTTAGGACCTGCTTAGAGGGCTGGTGGCTTTGCAGTGGTGGCATTAAAATACGTGACTTTTCCCTGGTGGTTGCAGCCCGCAGTGCTGGGACAGGTCACCCCTCCTGCCCCTGCGGCACAGCACAATTTGGGCACGTTGTTGAAGGGTTAACCCCAGCAACTGCTGGGTAAGTGTAAAAATATTAATAAGGCTGCCGCAGGTCGCCCTAAAATGGGAATTTACGGTGGTAGTCAAAGCTAATGTTTTGGATCAATGCAACATCCTTTCTCAGAATGAAAAAATAAATTAACCAGACTGTCATACGGAGGGTATGTAACCAAATCAATCATATTTATTGCATTTAATCAAAACTTGATTCAGTTAAATTTATTCCATATGATAGCCATGCGCTTCGCGTGATGCACACCTAGCTGAGGTTGCTGGTGCGGCTCAGCGAGCTCTGCACTGCTCACCGGAGGCAGGGCTCAACCCCTGTGTCATTACACATTAATAAGATTAGGGGTATTAATTTGCGTACGATGCTCTGAGCAACGGATGGGGGGGGTGTATATGTACCCAGGGAAATGATCACGAGGGCTTTACTGTGGATAAATAATATGTATTTAGTAACCGATATAATTCCTGCTCCCTCTGCACCGCCCTGTTTGCTTGCTGCTGGCTGCATCTAGAGGGCGAGACGCGCTGCTGCTGTACAGCGTGCCAGCCTCACGCCGAACAGCCGCCTGGCACACGCCGGCACCGCCCGGCATGGCCTTGTGGTGAGTAGGTGTGATGGGGCAAAACCTGCCGAAAACCCCAGGTGGGGCCAGAGCGGGGCTGAGAGATGCGGCGCAGGCATGCTGGTTTATGCTGTGCCAATATCCAGGCAGTAGAAACGGCAGCACACGCGGCCGCCCTTCCCATGCCAGCGCGTGGTCGGCCAGCCCCAGCAGAGCCCCCTGCCCCACGCCATCCCTTGCCCTGGCATGGCCTGGGCTGCTTTCAGCTCCACCGCTAATTGAATCCACCCATCATCCTGGGCAGACATGTCCGTGCCTTCAGGAAGGCTCTTGCCACCATCCCGGAGGAGCAGGTCCTTGGGAGTGAGGGTTGCTCGCACCTCCCCTGCCCACCCGCGCCCGCCAGGTGCTGCGTTGCCGTCCTGGAAGGAGGATTCGATCGCACAAACCTTCCTTCTCCTCCTGGAAGTTAATATTAGAATTCTTCCTAGCTGCATATATAATTCACTACATTAATCTTCCCTTAAAACATGCTCCTTCCACAAAGCCCCTCTGTATTGATCCAACAAAGACAATTATGTATTATGGGGGGAGGGGGAAACAGCTGAAAATTTTGAGATTGGCCCTTCAGCGGGATTTATTACGTGTCTGAACTATAGTGTCTGCCTATTTTTTATTCTAAGCCTCTATGACAGGGGTCATGTCTTCTTTCATATACTGTACAGCACTGTGCACTCCGATGGGGCTATATTAAATACTCAGGATGATTAATCACACTGTATAAATAACACACTTCTGTTGTGTTTGGAGGCGCGCACGCGTGTGTACGTCAGCAGTACCTCTATACCGCACAGCCGGAGCGCCGTCTCCAGCGACAGGTACTGCTGCCCCACGCACAAGGCAGTTGTAGGGCCCCAAGCAACGTGGTCTGACTCTGAAGCGCTCCTTGGTGTGTGCAGAGGGTTGGTCTGGAGACCCCCAAGGTCCTTTCCAACCCACATTTCTTCTGGTTCTCTGTTTTTTCCCAGCCCAGTTGGTTGCAGTGACCTTTCCAAGCAGGATGCAGTCCCGGGGCATCTCCCAAGGGCAATACAGTGCATGAGCCTGGGGGCTTTTCTGGTACCCTGCCTCTGCGTGGGAGCCCACCACCCTCTGCCTCGGGGCGCGGGGCCCCAGGCTGCGAGGGCACAGGGTGGATGCGCTTTAGGAGTGGGATCATGTGCTCTCTCCATCCATACCCCAAAATAAGGAG